CAGCTTCTTGTGCCCCCCCAGCCTACTCGTCAGTGGGGTGGTGTGAGAAGCTGGGAAGTCCTTGACTTAGTGTACCAAAACATCAGTGTGTTATCAACATTATTCTCATCCTAAATCCGAAACACAATACTATACCAGCTACTAGGAAGAAAATTAACTCTATCCCAGCCAAAACCAGGACACTGGAAAAACAACAAACTACTGATCCGCCCTCTGGAAAGGCAGCGTAGCATTTCAGCAGTGTTTACGTACAGCGTGGCTCTGGGAAGCCTGCAGTGACCCACCGACAGTGGCTTGGAGCTCTACAGAGGAGCAGTTGTGCACGCATCCGTTTGCCATGAGTGGCTGGACAGGGCATGTGAGTTCCTAACGTGGGTGGCTTGTAATCAGCAGCCTTCCTGGGAACAAATTCAGGATGTGTTAAACAGAGCTATGCAGATATAAACCCACGTAAGTGAGGACACAACTGTCTAGTTATCTTTCAGAAACTTATCTCAATAGCTAAGGACTCTTGGGTCACTCCTGTTCCCAGACTAGGCAATTCCCTCTCCTGTCCCTATCTTGAGTTTCTCTCGAGCATCCTCACAGTTCTTGCTACCTCTGTAATCCTTCACACCTTTCAGCGCTGGCCCAGCTCTCAGTACAAATGTATCACTAGCCACTCGGTAACTGAACAAATTGGTTTTTAATAGAATACAGTAAGCAAGTGCTTCATTGACCTGCACAGCAGATGTTGTATGAAGAAGTGGGTCTCCGTAAGAGCCACAGCAGCACGTGGCAGCACCACTGAAGTTTTCCAGTTTTGGCTGTATTCTGTTCTTGGATGTGAATCTGTAAATAAATTCTAGCAGAGTGAGCAAAACAAGTATTTGACAGAGGAATTTTTGAATTAATATTCTGGGTATGTCATCTTTAAAGCCAGACATCCATCTTCTCTCTGTGTAACCTTAGCACCATGTTAGATTATTTTGTAACTGTTAATCTTCTAAGTACGTTTTTAAAAAATGCTGTGAGGCCTCCCCAAATGCGTGGTCTTCACAGTCAGTAAGTGTTAGCACTGTGTTAGTGCTGCGAGTATCTGCGCAGCCAAAGCCTGTGCCCTGACAAGGGCAGATCAATTCTTCATGTAAAAGAACAGTGAAGAGGCGCCAGATCCCAGGAACTAGGCGGTTCCCAGGGCTCCTGTCTGTAGCCACAGGAGGCTGCTGTCCCTGTCAGCCTTCTGGCAGTGGCATGTCACCCAGCTCGTGCCTGAGGCAGGTAGACAGTGACTCCCAGCTCCTGCTAGTGCAGCACTAGCTAGCAGCAGCTGAGGCAGCATGTTCAACCTTGCAGTAGAGCTGCTCAGCAGTGGGAGCAGAAAGCTAGCAGTTCACAGGCTTCCTCACACGCTTTGACCTTCCTCCTCCTCTTCCTCCTCTATGCTTTGAGATCCTTTGTCCTCTGAGGGCAGGAGAGGCTGGTGCTGGCATGACTGATGTCTGTCTGCACTCCTCCACGAGGTGTGCAGGTCTGCCCTGCCTTGCTGCAGGAAGAGGGGCAGGAGGTTGGGGGTGAAGGGCATGTCCCTGAAGGCGTGCAGGAGGAAGATGCCAGACACGATGGTGAGGAAGCCGCTGATGGTGCCGACGATGTTGTCTAGTACCATGTTTTGCCACTCCTTGAAGAGGATGGCAGAGCACATCATGACTGCTGTGGTGAACAGCACATAGTAAATGGGTGTGACCACAGACGTGTTGAAGATGTCCAAGGCTTTGTTCAGATAGTTGATCTGGACGCTGATGCAGATCACCAGGCACACCAGGAGCACCCAGCTCAGTGGTTCTTTCAGGACAGGTTTCCTGGAAAACAGTTCTTTCAGGGCAATCCCCAAGCCTTTGACGCAGGACACAGAAAGCGACCCGATGGCAGAGCAGACCAAAACATAAACCAGGACGTTGCTCTGTCCATAACGAGGTCCAGCCACAAAGATAAGCAGAAGGGAGCTCACCAGGACACAGACAGCAAATACAATGAATCCTTGGGGAAAGAAGAATTAAAGAGCTCTGTCAGAGAACAGTAGCACCAGTGACAGATATAACTGAACAGCAAGTAGAGATGGAGGACAGGCAGGTAACTGCCCCATCAGTCTGTCTTTTTAGCCTCCACCTGTAGGGACCAGGGTTGGGAAGCAGAGTTGGTCTCCAGCCTGAGCAAAGTTGCAGAGACAACAGCAGCTCTTTACAGCGCTGATCACAGCACCACCCCACAAGTCAGTCTGTCAGGAGATACAGCCACCTGTGCTGGAAGGGGTAGGGGCACAGCCAGGGCCTGTGGCACTAGCGGAGGTGGGGCTCTTGTTGACCAGGAAGACGAGGGGGCTCAGCTCTGCAGGAGGCCCAGGATGGTGGCAGAAGGCTTGGGAAGCCCTAGCTGAACACTGCGGCTGTGGTGGGATAAAGAGGAAAGCGCCACATCACAGCAGTGTGACGCCCTACCAGAGCACTCCCTCTAATGAGCAGCAGCATCTACCTGTTACTCTGCTTTGCTCTTCTCCCTGTGCTTTCTTCCTCCATCTCCTGTGGCTTATTCTGCCATTCACACTATTGCCCAAATCATATCCTTGCAACCCAATTCATCCTCTAACATAAATATCAGGAGTACTCAATCTTGGGCATAACTCTTTGAATCGCTCGTTCATCTTTGCCTGAAGTTCCTTCTCTGTCTTCCCTCAGCCACACCTTTGCCACCCTTGTATACAGGAATTCCCTCCCTTATCCCAGTACTGCCACAGGGCAACCCCTTCTGCTGATAGCTGCAGCTAATTCCCATGCTCTTCACTTTTTGCATCTATACCTCATAGACAATACCAAAAAAAAGCACACTCCAAGTTCTTGTCCTTGCTTCGGCACAGACCCGGTGACTTGGGAGCATCACTCAGACTCCCTCTCTGCAAAGTGGGGTTCTCATCTGCTTCTTTTATCTGTGGCCAAGAGGACTTGACAGTCCTAAAAAGCCATTCTGAAGCTGACTTGTCCCCCTATGTTTTGAGCTAGTTAATAAAGTGTAAATCCTCTAGGCAAGTGCATTAAATGGTGTTTGACTGTCACCAATCTTTCACGTTTAGAGCATGGAGACTCCAGCCTTTTCCCACAACAGAAGGCAATCCACAAGCTATCCTGAGCATAGGGGAATATTTCCTCCGCTGGTGCGCAGAACAAGAAACAGTTCAATTACCCTTTAGTTCAGTCCTTCCCAATCTAGCCAAGTTGTATCCTACCTTCTACTGTCATTTCCAAGCCTGAAGTTGACAGGACCCCTTTTATTTAAGTACCTGGATCTTTCAGCTTCTCTGCCATTGACTCCAGGCTGGAAACCTCTTCTTCTTGCGGAGCGTGGATCACCATCACTGTGGAGCCCAGGACACTCAGGACGCAGCCAATCTTCCCATGAATATTCAGCTGCTCGTTCAGGAAGGTGGAAGACAGAACTGCACTGAAAGGTAGTAAAAAAAACCGCAAACCAATTAGACTGAGATGCAGTATCTGAGGGAAGAGACAGAGGAAAGCAGAGGAACTGCTTTCACCACTAAGGAGTGGTAGGTGAGGTAAGGGTGTTTCTGAGGCTGCTTACCTAACAAGGACACTTAGAGCACCCAGCGGAGTTACCAGCGTTGCAGGGGCAAAGGCATAGGCAGCAAAATTTGCTGCTTCTCCAACTCCCACTGCAAGAGAAACTCTTGTCAGGTGAGCATCAAAGTAGGAGCAATTCAGCATAATACAAGTTTGAGTGCAGTCAGAAGAGAGCCTCAGTTTCCAGCTCAGCATCCTGTCTTTCTCTGAGGTATATCATGCAACCAGAAACAGCACCAGCAAGAACAAGCAGAAGCCCGATATAGGTTCTCTTGAGAAGAGAAGGCTCATGGTTACACATGGTGATCCTTAGTCACACGTGGCTATGCAGCTGAGCAGTAACCATAGAAAAATATTTCAATAACGTTCTCAAAGCTGAAAGGAGTTTTGACCTGTTTCATATTTCTAAGTCATGTTCTTCTCTAGGAACAGCTTTTACAGCTTTTTAAAGGATAAATCAAGCACAATTGGTTATTAATGTTGAAAAGTGTAAAATAGAGCTAGTGAAATTGCTGTAGCAGTAAACCCACAGTGCTGGATGTGCCATTGTAATTACATTGTCTGGGCAGGCCATTTCAGAAGCACTTAACCCGACCCAGTCAGACCAGCTCCTCGATTCCTATTTAGCAGAGAAACCTGGTAATGCATAAGACTTTAGAATATTTTAGTTATAATTAGATCAACAACATCCTCAGACACTTAGACAAAAATCAAGCAGTCAAACAACGATCTTAATAATAAAACACAAAAGCAACTGGAAACAATGACAAGCAGTCTTAAGTGTGTCTTGCTACAGTTTCAGAGCGAGTACTTACTGCACAGCAGCCCTGCCCACCAAAGCCATTCCTGCAGGTACGCGTGACCTCCTTGCCCTAAGTAAGGAAGAAATAGTAACAAAAAAACTCAGATGAAGCGACGCAAAAGGCACATTATCCTGCCAGAAGTGCCTCAGAGAAGTAAGCGGGAGCAACTTGATCTCCATTAAGTGCAAGGCTGCCTTGGGTCTGCCTGCCTTGTCACATATTGGCCTGACCCAGTCATGGGCAAGCACTGATTCTTTTACCCTAAAAGCAAAGATGTTATGCCCTGGCTCTCCTGTGTTTGAAAGCCAGCAGTTTCAAGAATGCATGAGCGGTTGTAGAAACTTGTATTTGTTGGCCACGGGTGATGGCAGGCTATCCCTGTGGAAAAAGCCTACTTTTAGACCAAAAAGCCCCACAAGCAAGGAGGGAGGCAGCCAAGGCCCAGCGCTGGCTGGACAGTCC